ATCTTTAATGTAGAAAGAAATTCTAATGGGTTGGCTACCTCTTAAAACGTTCACAAAAACGAAGGAAAGGATGTCTCACTGCTTGATTGTGCCATGATTGGTCCCCAATGTACATTCTCAGATTGCTCTGGGACCTTGTCAGCACTCCTCAGCTGCTCTCAGGCACACACCAAAGAATAAACCCTCTATTCTGTCTACAATGTACCCAGATGGAACTCGAAGGTTTCCAAAGAAATTTTACTAAGAAAGACAAGTAAATGAAACAGGGCCACAAAAAGGTGTTCTCAGGAGAATGAAATACAAACAAAGGTCATGCTTGCAGAACTCAGATTTCTGAAGCAGTTTCAATTCTGAACTATCATTCTGTAATTGAAACAAAAATCTACATGAACAGAACAAGGAACCTTGCATACTGGGGCTCAACCAAACAGCTGGTCTAGAGCAGAGAATATGCAGAATGACTTTTCTGAAAGACTTCCTTTACTCACACATAGGGATTAACTTTTTTAAAAATAATAGATAAGAAAAGTCATTAACAGAAATCATACTTACTTTATATATATGTTCTGGCAAATCATATTTCATGACTTTATTAATATAGGACACCACAGCTGATTTCTTACTATTCTAAGAATTTGTTCACATTTGGTTTCAAAACACTGAGGTATTTTGAATACAAAAAAACTTATTTCAGATGATTGGTAAGTCTAAAAGACTATATATTAATAGTTTTTTATTTCATCTTATTTTTTGCTATCCATATAAATTTTTAGTACTATGCCTAAGCAATACATCTAACTGTCCAAAAGGAAAAAAATAGTAAAGAACTGTAGAGACTTCAAGCTTTTAAACATTCCAACTCTTCCAATTATGTGACAGATGGGTAGGTCTGTGTTCTAAGTGTACTAAGGGAATGTAATCATTGTAGTGGGTCATGGAAATTATTTTAATGGGAAAATGAAAAGAAAAGAAGTGTCAAAAATAATTATAGCATATTTGAAATATCAAGATTAATTTCATTTCGTGAAACATTGCATCAGTAGATATTGTATGTGACATCAGATACTATTATTACTATGCTTTGACCCAAACTATTTGGAACACACAAATCATTGGGTCCACCTAATCTAGAGCTCTGAATATGAAAGGCAAAATTAAAAGATTCCCCACAGGGAACAGATGTTGTCCCATAGGCATTTTTTTAGCAGATCCCCTCCCCCATTCTTACCATTTGTTCCTAAAATTATAGCACAAATATGCATCCACATGTCAGTGAATACTACGTTTATTTTTTAAAGAAATATAGTGGACAGATTTTCTAAAATTGACTTTGAAACTTAGAAAATGTGTCCATGGAAAGATAATCTGAAAATTTGAGGTCACACAGAGTTTGCCTAAATTTACATATTGAGTGTTTTGCCAAGGACTACCATGAACAAAGAGAAGTCATCACGACTTGGAGAAAAAGGTGCAAGAAGAATGTGAGCCATATAGATTATCCTCTTCGCTGTAAGAATCATTTTAAATCAATACTCCAGAGCTGTATTGTAAACGACAGAACAAAAAGGGTTTGAATCAACTGGTTACCTTCACCCTGAAAATAGAACATATTAACTAAAATCAGAAAGAAGTTACAAGCATACAGCAATATCTGAAAAACTCTGAATTGACCTCTCAGTGCCCTGCTCTGTATGTGTCCAACAAAATGCTATTGGTAGGTATTTTTCTCTTATAGATTTCTTGTATTTAAAAACTGTTTGCAACCAAAGGTATTTTGAAAACAAAGCACAGTGAATTGATATTTTTTTGAATTCTCATGCTGTTAATAGTAGAAATAATGTGATACATGTATAGTACCTTTGCTAAACCAAACAACAGGGCTTTGGGCTCTCTTCTCAGTGTTCCGGCATACAGCCAGTAATTTGTATACTTAATTGAATTTGGTAATATTTGATGAATTGTATTCTATGAAACTGATCTGAAAAAAACAAGAGTGAACATTTTAAGTTTTAAAAGTATTTTCTTTTGATTTTGAATGTGTGTTTTTATGTGTGTATGTATTCTTGTGTGTGAGTTTGTATGTGAGTGGTCACAGTCATGTATATGTACATGGAGTTCATATGTCAATGTCAAGTGTCTTCTTTAATTGTTCCCTGTCTAGTATTTTGGGAAAAAAATCTTCCACCACACCAGAATCTTGCCATTTGGCCACACTGGTTGGCCAGCTAGCCTTAAGGATCCTCTTGTTCTGTTCCCCCAGCACTGTCATTAAGGGCACAGTCCACCATCAAACCTAGCTTTTGTATGAGTACTTGGAATCTAATCTCAGTTCTTCATGCTTTCATGGCAAGCATTTTACCATTAGCTGGATGCAATGTGTTTTTAATGGCTATTTTTCTGTTTACAGACACTTGCTTTTCTAAAATGTGTATAATAACAATGTGACCTTCATTCTTAGTACATGCATAGGGAAAAGTACATATTTGAAATATTCCATTGAGTTGAGAGTAAGGCTTTAAAATATTCAGATATCATATCAGTTTCCTTCAAGCTACACACCTTTTGGCTAAATTTCAAATACTCTAACATCCGTTTTTCTATCTTTAAGAAAAACTATTAAGGCTAATTGCCTGAATTTACAAAAAAAAAATCAGTTATTGTCCTGTGGATGAATATTTATTTACACATTGTTTAAACTTAATTCTTTTGTTGAGTCTTTGTTTTTTTAACATTGCTTAAGTTAGATAGTGTCTTAGAGACCCAAGTTAGACAAAATCATATGAACAACTTTAGTAATTACTGCGTTGAAGATATTATTATTATTTTAGACACAATGACTTGGTTACATGGAAACACATGAGCAAGTTAGTTTTCTTACATAGTGCCAAGAGGGAGGACTACATGCTAACAATTTTATGTGTTTAGCCATTAAAAAAGAGCCTTTAATCCTGGCAGTAGATTGCTTTTCAACTGTATAAATCATTTATGTATATTTGTTTTGTCTTATTCTGGGCCTCTAGACATTTCTTGTTTACTCTGAATCTCTTTGGCAGAGCTTACCAGAGAAGAAAATGATTTAAAAAATTGGTTGATTAATCATTTTAACTGAATGTGAAGAAAAAATTAAAAATAATAATACAAAATCAGAGCACAGGAAAAGGGTGTCTTGGCAATTAGATAATCCACAAGCAGCTTTTTAGAACAATTATCAGATGAACAGGTGAAGTCCACAGAGCTTGACATTCCGGATAAACAGAGTCCATTGTATGAGGCGATAGGCTCTTTTAGCAGAATATCTGACTAAGAGCTAGCTTTAGGAGTAAGTCTTGAGCTTGAGAACTGATGGATGATCTCATTCTATATGCTGTGAATGTGTTGCTCTGATTGGTTGATAAATAAAATGCTGATTGACCAGTAGCCAGGCAGGAAGTATAGGTGGTATAAGCAGACAATGAAAATTCTGGGAAGAGGAAGCCTGAGTTGGGAGATGACATCTTGTCATCCAGGGAGCGGCATGTAATGGCACACTGGTAAAGCCACGGAAAACATGGTGACATAGATTAACAGAAATGGGCTGAGTTTAAATGTAGGAGCTAGTCAGTGGTAGGCCTGAGCTAATGGCCAAGCAGTTTTAATTAATATAAGCCTCTGTGTGTTTACTTGGGTCTGATTGGCTGTGGTCCAGGTGGAACATAGAAAAGCTTCAGCTACAGAGAATCATTCCTGGAATATCTCTCTTCCAGAAGATAGGGAAGCTCAAGGTACAGGAAGACTATGTATGGCTTCAGCCCTGCAGGAGCTTGAAGCCTAGAAAAGGGATGAAGATATGAGATGAACAAAGTAATTCAGTGTGTTAGAAAGGGTGTCAGGTGTCTGCCAAAAACTTACAGAATGGTCATGTTCTATTCCAAAATGTAAAGGGAGTTAAGCACCTGGTTTATCTGCCACGACCTCCTCTCTTTGTAATTGGTGTATCTGTACTAAGTGCTCCATAAATGCTACTCTCTTGTCTCCAAACCAGTATCTGAATTGTTATTTGCAAGTTAAACATCACTGTTTTCTCTGTGCTTTGAATGCAATATGGACAGCTGCTTCATGCCCTGCTGCCATCATGGAGGTACTCTCAGATCATTAGCTAAGACAGATCTTCTATCTCTGTTACTTTTCCTTGGTATTTTGTATACCACAGAACATGTAACTATTGATCCTATTTCAAGGAATAACTAGAGAAACTTGGTTAAAAATGTTATTTATCACTATTCCAACTTGCACCTAGTTTTTCTTGGTTAATAACATCTCACTTTTCAGTGTCATCTTTCCTAATACCATATCAATCTAAGAATATTCCAGGACTGATAAATCTCAATTTACTGCGTATCCTAAACTTCATCTTATGACATCATAACAATGCCCTTTTAAAACAATGCCAAGTGCATCTTCCCTCAGTAGACATATATACTTTGCTATTCTGTCTTGTATTTACCACTTGCTTACTTTCCCCCTAACAATTAGAACATGTCTAGGAGATTGAGGCAGTTAACCATTACTTTAAACTGATAATTAAATTAATAAAATCTTATAACTACTAGTAAAAGCTATTTGAATGCTTTTGAGGTCAAAATAAATCAAATACTGTCATGTCACTACAAACATTATTTGTTTTACATATAAAATATGTGTGATGAGGAATAGCTATTTCTCCACTAAATATGATAAGGCATCTAGAAGAATTAGAAGATTCACATGGCATAATTCAAAGTCAACCAGCTTTCTTCCTTGCCCACACCCTAAACTCTGCATTTCTCTAGTACAATAAAGTAAGAGTTTTAAAATTCCAAATGGAAAGCATAATAGTGAGAATGTAGTGTCAATAAAAAGATTAAAGAGATGAGAGAGAGAGAGAGAGAGAGAGAGAGAGAGAGAGAGAGAGAGAGAGAGAAAGGCAAACAGCTTCCTCTTTGGGACTGTCAATAGAAGTTTCAGAAGCAAATGCCACTGACCTGAGGAGATGTCGATTTGACTTGTCTTGGTCTGTGTGGTATTGATGTGGACGCCCACTTTGCTCTCCACAAGGTCAATCTCCACATTACCTAAGTTATCTGCAAAGTGACTGAAGAGCAGGAGACCACTAGGGTTCCAAGTCCTGAACTGGAAACTGACTGAGAACAGGTCCTGATTAAGTCTGCCAGGCACCTCCAGGTAGCTTGTAGCATTGAAGAAGACTGGTACTGTGTAGGGCTCCACACAAGAGAAACTCAGATTCCCCTACAAGCAAACAAACATTTATGTGAAACTACCGATAAAGAGATGGTTCTACAAATATTCAAGAAGTGATAGATCCTGTACCAAAGTAAAGGGATAGCATCTCTGCCTGATTTTGTGAGTGCATGGATTTTGATGGAACTTCCTGGAGTGTTAGACCCAATAAGCAGTAGCTGGTCTTCTAACTCAGAGCACAGCACAACACCAGTAAAGAGGCTGATGGCTTAGTAGCCTGCTGTGATGCAGAGACCACACAATGGTCTTCTTTCATCTTATCATCATATTTTAAGGACTTTGATGACATTATTACTTCCTTCAATTATATATATATATATATATATATATATATATATACCATATATATATATATACCATATATCATATATCATATATTATATATGCACCAGGAGGGTGTGGATGTGAGGATACAAGGAGTCTTCAGGGAGCTGAGTGAATTTCACTGAAAAAACAGCTACTAATGTCTTTGAGCAAATTTCTTTTAAAATGTTAACTTTGTAGGAATGGCAATGAAATGCTCTATTTCATGATTTTTTTCCTAATGTTTTCAGTGTGAAGATTTTGCTACAAAAATTGTTCTGTGGTTGCCAACAAATAATTTGTTAAAATAAAATATACTTGTAGATGCCTTATACTTTATAAAATATCTTGGCTATTCAAAGGCTTTTCTAGTTTCAACATGCTTTGTAGTTACAGTTGTCTTAGTAATGAGCCCCCATGGTTGGTGTTCTGTAGTTTGAGTACCAAATGGATACATCTCAGGACCAACACTGAACTAAAATTTTACTTTTTAAATGGAAATAATAGAAATGTTATTCTGATGCTTTACATTCTATATTGTTTTCCTAAAGCATCAATTTTTGAGAACAGTGAAAGGACCTCTGTGACATTATATCCATTCCAAATCTTAAAAGCTTAACAAGTGTGTGTGTGTGTGTGTGTGTGTGTGTGTGTGTGTGTGTGTGTGTGTAGGTGTAGTGTATGTTTGTGTAAGCATATGTGGGATATATGTTTATGTGTGTTTGTATATAACCATAGTATGTGGTATATGAGCATATAGTATATTGTTTTGTGAGAAGAATATGGAGTATGTGTGCTTGTGTGTATATTAATTGCTATGCTAGTGCATGTGTTTGTATGTATATATTATGTGCATGTCCTTGTGTATTATTGTATGTGGTATATGTGTGTGTGAATAGTACATGGTGTATGTGTGTTACTGCATGGTCTATAAGTTTATGTGTGTGCATAGAATGTGAGGTATGTATATGCTTGTGTAAATATTACATTACATATACAGGTCAGCAATTGCATATAGTATATGATATATGTGTTTGGTGGTTTGAATAAGAATGGCCCCCATAGGCTCATATATTTGAATGAGTCAGTTACCAGAGAGTGTGACTGTTTGAAAGGATTAGAAAAATTGGAAAGTATAGCCTTGTCAGAAGAAGTGTGTCACTGGGGATGGGCTTTGAGATTTCAAAAGCCCATACCAGGCTCAGTCTCTCTCTCTCTCTCTCTCTCTCTCTCTCTCTCTCTCTCTCTCTCTCTCTCTCTCTCTCTCTCTCATTTCTTCTGCCTACAGATCAAGATGTACCCCTCAGCTAATACTTAAGCACCATGTTCCCACCAGGCTCCCCATCATGATATTTGACTAAGCCTCTGAAGCTGCAAGCAGAGCTATAGGGAAGCTCCATGAAAAACATTTGTTACTCTCTTTGGGGCTACCCAGCAGTACATAGAGACACGAGCAGCTAAGACATCCTCCTAACTTGGTCTTCTTCAAGAAATCTGAAACCAGTCTCCATAGGGATCCACAAGAAGCTCAGCATGAGCTTTTGTGACCCACTCTTGTTTCTCCAAGGATCAAAAGTCATTTTTTATTGAATCCATTATTTAGCTATTACTCTGATACTTCATTTATAGAACAGTCCATATATGCATATAATTCATTTTGGTTACCCTCTTCATCCTCTCCAATTTCCCTCAGCTCTTATCAGTCTGTTCTCCTTCTTATGAGTCTTAGATGAAAGTTTAAAACTATTGGTCACAAAGGCTGGCTTGACTCAAAGTCAATGTGTATTCTGAGTATGTCAAGTATCTACATGTTGTTAGGCAACATCTGTTTTACACTGTGGAACTGAACCCAAACAGGATGAAAAGGGATAGATATTTGTTGTTATTTAATGTCCCATAAAAAACAAAAAGTTCATGTGAATTTTGTAAATGGATCAATATTTTGACTCTTACCACATTTGATGGCTCTAATTTTTTCCTCCGGGCAAGATCAGTGATGTTGACACCATTGTAGTTGATGCTTTCCATGCAACCCTTAAAGTTCTTCCTATTACTGGAACTTGGCTTGCCAGAGAAAGGTACGCCTCCAAATGTTATCTTTGAGAAAAAAATTAAATGTAAATGTTTACACTTTCTTACAACAAACTATGCACAGTTATAAATACAATCGTTAGGCATCTTTATCTTAGTCAAAAATAAGCAAGCATTATATCTCACCTAAAAAATCGTTTGCTTATTACATTATATTGTTACTGAAATGCATAGTGGAATCATTAATTCCAATGATTAGATTATAACTTGACCAATAACATAGCAAACTTCCATTGCAGTTTTTAAACACCAAAGGCATTTTATAAATTGTCTTGAGAGTATTTTAAAATGATTTTATCTAGCAACTTTATTTTATCAAGGAATATTAAAACTATATATTCATATTTATCATTCAAAGACATGTTACCAATAAATGCCTCTAGTAATCTCAAAACAACCAACACTAATATAATAAGCTGATAAAGTGTAATCCAAAGCAAGGAATAATGTATTTGCTCTCTGTGGGCTTTGTGAAGTCTAATGACTGTTGGAGTCAAAGGTTCATTAGAATTATTTTGAGTATAGAAAATGGCTGAAAAACACCATTAGTGTATGGATTAGGAGCTTTGTGGGACACGGGGGCTATAAGTTGGGCACTCAGGGTTTACACATTTTATAGATCTTGCAGACCTTAAGGAAAAAGCCAGTCCTCCTTAATGTGTTCTTTTGGGTATCCCTGTTAGAGGGGATTTGTTTTTTACCCCATGTATGTCTCACAACTTTCAAAATCTGTAGCAATAATATAGATGATACAAAATTATACTTAATCAGTATTGTTAGGAATATTCACTACTAATAGTGAATTAGTAAATAAATATAATGTATAATTGTGGTTGTAATAGCAACTTCTATGAAGCAGACTTTTCCTTTATAGGGTCATCATTTTCAATTTCCCCTTATAGTTTATAATGTGAAAGGAACTGTTGAGACATTTTCAAAAGTGAGGACTTTATATTTGATATAAGGCAAGGATGTGCAACATTCTAGGAGGCTCATGAGTAAATTATGTTCCATTATTAGGTGCTATGGCATTTAAAGTGCTTAATTAGTTTTAGAGAAAAAGACAAATTAATGGTGGTTTACGAAACAATGTTTGTAAGAAGGCCCCACTTAAAATAAAATTAAGTATTATTAATCATGTTCAGCTGAATATACATCACTCGCAATGAGTTCATACATGAAAGGAGAAGTTAAAAATAAATTAAAACACATAGAATAGTATTAGTAATCCACAAAGGAAAAAATATAGAGTAACCAAAAATGGTCGAAACATTGAGAAAATATTTGAAAGTCACAGTGATCCTGGCCTTGCTAGGTACTCTGGACTTGATCTTGATACTGATAGCAGTAACCATAATGCTAAAATAAAATGCTGTGTAGTTTTGTGCAGTTTCTTTGCTGATTACTTTTAAGGAATTCATAATAATCCATCTTAAGTTTTTAACATTTATTAGTAGTATTATTATATGAATGTGTGTGTGTGTGTGTGTGTGTGTGTGTGTGTGTGTGTGTGTGTGTACATATGTGCATGCCATGACACATAAGTGGAGGTCAGAGGACAACTTGTGGAATAGGTTCTTTCCTTCCATCATGTGGGTCCCAGTGTTGAACTCTGTTGCTCAGGCTTGGCAGCAAGGGCCTTTACTTGCCAAACTGTCTCACTGGCTCACACAATCTGTTTGGTGTTGACAGCATCACATTCTGAATATTTTGTCATACTTGTTTCACGTTACAGATTTGTTCCTCTGTGCACATGGTTTCTACAATCTGGGCTTTGTTTTTCCACTGGGATGATGACTCAAATGCACCATAAATGTCTTCTGCTTTCAGTAACCAGGGATGTGCGTTCATGGGCAGTTTCATCCTGAAGCACTGAGAGCAAGGGTTAGAGGGTGCTTGGCAGAGAAGTGGGGTCTAACACCGGTTCCCCGTGGAAGCAATCACATATTAGTTTGCCGTTTATTTTTTTCTTGCCATAGACTGCAATTGTTGCACCACATTTTTAGGTATCCTAAAGTTATGGTGATAAAACCCCTTTTCAATATTCAGGTTAAAAAATCCTATTTGGGAGTTTCTGTAGCCTTAATAAGATCACTACCACTTTTAACCCTTATAAGCCAGTTAATTGGGTATGAAGAAGTCACACAGTATAGCAGATGTTGGCAGACACCTCCAGTGTAATTTCTCTACAGCCTTTTTAGAATGGAGTAACAATCCTCTCTAGTTAGCTCTATCATCCTCAAGTCAACATATACAGCATATACCAACCTCTGTGGGAGTAGTTTGCTCTTACAGTATTTTATTGGTAGGATGTATGTCACTCCAAGATCATAAGGAAGTCTTTAAACCTATCTTCCTGCCTGCTGCTCATAATGACCATGAGAATGCAGATGTCCTTCTTGGAGTAATTTGCCATCAGGATAAAAAACAATGCAAAAGGAAAGGAGACTGCAGTGGAATGGATGGCATTGGAAACTACAGCTAAGTGCAAAAGATGGGATGCCTTCCATGTGAAAGAGATAAACATGCATCTGTTATATAAGCATATGTACAAATATGGTTTCTTCTGTACACATGTGTATGTTTATATATATATGTATATTTACTGATATATGGTATATGCATAGGCACACATTCAAGCACACACACACACATATATATATACATATACATATGTATATATTTGTTATTTTATCATGTGATCTAAGAAGAAGTATGATCTTATTTTCTTATTATATTAAGGGAATATGAATTACTCATGTCACACAACCAGTGAGGGTCAGAAAGTGATTCAAATTCAGGCTTTCAGTTCTGCTGGAGGGTATATGGTTGATTTTCTCTCTGACTGTGTTGTGTTTATAGGTTTAAAAGGGACAATAAGAGTCACTTCCTTTTTCACAAGCAGAGATATATTGCAAAAAATCATGGCATTCATCCAAAGCACTGTAAGTGGCGTTTAACTGAAGAACAGAATCAAATCTAGCCAAACCTTGGATTACTGCCCTGTCTCTTAGTTTCCTTGACATGGAAGAGAACAAAATATATACTCCTTCAATCTCACACTACCATGTAGTTAGTAGTTTGACTGCTGACAGTGATCTCCCTACTTTATCATATAATGACACCACAGAGAAGAACTTTGGGCCACTTTCGTACACAAGAGTAATGTTAACATTGAATCATGTCAAAGGTGCAAAGTAGTACATCACATCTCTTTGATGATGTACATTGTTAAAAATGGAGGCAGGTGTATTCTGTCTACCCCTAGCAATGTTGTATTGGATATTGCTAGTACTAGCTGGCTCTTCAGGACTGGTGTTCAACAGAACCACTATTAAAACACAAATAGGATAGTGTTTGAATTAAATTACTTCCAACAGAATGTTAATATCTCCTTATAATTAAACTCTACACTTACTATATGTGCTCTACAGGTTATTTACACAGCACCTATCTGATGCATGCACTGTGTTGTGCAATGGTGTGTTGGTTGACATCTTTTTGCGGTCCCCTACTCAGTACAATTCAACTTACAGCATGAAATTCCCCACGGTGAGATATTTACACTATGACAGTTAAAGAATCAGATCAGTGTATTCCTCCTTTTCCACAACAGTGGGAGCTTCTGAGAACTTCTAGCACATTCCTGTTAAGCCTCAATGCCCTTTGCCTCAGACCACTTTGCAAGAACTGAAGTCAAGTAGTTCGTGGGGAACAGGACACAGTCTTTGTTTTTTTTTGTTTTTTTTTTTTTGTTTTTTTTTTTTGGTTTTTCGAGACAGGGTTTCTCTGTGTAGCTTTGCGCCTCTCCTGGAACTCACTTGGTAGCCCAGGCTGGCCTCGAACTCACAGAGATCCGCCTGGCTCTGCCTCCCAAGTGCTGGGATTAAAGGCGTGTGCCACCACCGCCCGGCTACACAGTCTTTGTTAACATGAGAAGACTAGCTCTTTTATCCTTTATACTACAGTTTAATACTACAATATGAGTTTTACAAAATACGTGTTATGTTAGGTTTGAAGTTAATTTTACCAGCCTGTGTGGTAGGAATCTACTTCTTCTGTTGATACATCAAAGAGACATGGGCAACTGTTCTGATACAGGCTCTTAATAGGCCCCAGATTTCTTTAAATAACACATAAAGTATCTTTACTACATAGTATAAAATACAACATTAGACACACCAACTTTTACTGTGACACATGACAATAGCTGCTGTTCCCAAGAAGAGAGTTACTAGAGACTAGCTTATCAATGGGAAATAATAATTAAATCATCATCATTTTTCAGTAAATTTATATTTCCCCTACTACTTCTTTTGATAAATATTTCCCACTCATTCCAGTCCATAGCCGAGAATCCCCAAAATGAGACTGTGTTGTATACAGAATGATTTGACACACTGTGAAATCCTAGAACTGTTGACCTCATGTAGAATGTGTTGCGTGCACATGAATATGCACAGATTTTATCACAAACTCAACGGGGTCTGTGACCCCAAATCTTTAATTACGGTTTTTGAAAATTGGAATTATGTTTGCCCATGGCCAATGCTTCAGGATGTCTCCCTATTCTGTGATACTTCAAAGTTTATTAATGGAAGATGAATAATTCATCTGCAAGTTATCTAATACAATAGAGCAGTAAGTCACAAGAGATGCAGTATCAACTTTCAGGAGATTCAAATTTCTTGGACTTTCATATTCTTTCACTATTAAAAGAATTATTTTAGTTTTGAGGTTATAATATCATTATATCACTTCTCCCTTCTCTTTCCTCCCTCCAAACCCTATTATGTATCCCACATGTTCTCTTTAAAATTCACAGCTCCTTTTAATAGTCATTTGTAGATGAGTATTTTGGGGTATCAATAATTCACGATTAAGCTTATGTTTTTATGTTAATTTGTCTCCATTGACATATAAACACATTTTATAGCTATCAATTCGGATTTCTCACCAATAATTTTATGATGAGATTATTCTATATTATTAAATTTTACATATAATTGGAGGCTAACACACAATGTGTACATAGATTTCCTCTTTCTTAAATGTAGATTTTAATGAACACAAAAATTCATAGCAACCTCAGGTGTTGTCCCAATGTATAGTAAGTCTTTGAAGGAATCACAATTCTTATCATCATCCAATGTATGGTCTTGCCCTGGTCTGTCTCACGACTTTCTGTTGTGTGTGGTGAGGTCGGGAGCCAAATATACAGTACAGGAATTGACCAGAAAAAGAATGACAGTATCAAATTAGAGGCCAAATCTGAAAATGTATTCAAGCACCACAGTTTTGTTCATTATCCCACTGTTATTTATAAGTAGGGAGGTTTGCAAATGGCTATCAAATTAGTCGGACATAAATTTCAAGTGATTTGAACCACCTATGCTCCAAATACTTTGGAAGATTAAAGCTTGACTAATTCCATGAACTAAGAAAGTTGGGAAGCATCTATCTGTTGACATGTCATGCTTTTGATATTGCTTGGGTGCTTGCTCCAGAAAATGCAGTGCTTTCTTCTCACTCCAATTACATACAACACTGTAAAAGCTTTACCCCTGTTCACTAGTAACAGATGTGATGCACTGTGTTGAACCACTCTGATAATTTACTTAAAGCCTAATATATCAACTTGAATGTTATAAAATTATAACATATGCATATATATACATGTGTATATATGTGTGTGTATTAAACATCAAGGTGATCTTTGGTTTTTTTAAGTTATTATCTGTTTTCTATATTTATTTGGGTGTGTGTGTGTGTGTGTGTGTGTGTGTGTGTGTGTGGACACTCACATGCCCCATTATGCTTGGTGAGATTAGAGGACAGCTTGTAAGAGTCCATCTCTTTTTTCACTATATATAGTGTAATTTTTTCAATACAGGATTGAATTTAGGGTGCCTTTACTTTCTGAGTAATCTCATTGGATCAGAGTATTTTTAAAATGCTTGGTTATTTAGAAATTGAAATGAATCTTAATGGACAATTCTTTAAAATGTTCTATATTTTATTTTATTTTTATGACAACTATGTCTGAGAAAAGTTTACTTAAAGTCCTATCTATAGGTATGAATTTATAAATAATATAAAATAGAAGTGAAGAAATTTTTAATCTATATACTACAAAACACAAGTGAACCTTCTGTATATGACATACTGCATAGTCTCATGAGTAGCAGATGTCATAATTCATTGCCAGTAGTGATGGTTGGAAATAGGGGTCCATGAGGAAAGGCCTGGTACTTATGGTATGAGAAGTGGAAGGATATATGGACTTCAAGTAGCTGGAGACCAGGGGGAAGCACTTAGCTCTGTCTGAGCATACTCTCCAAAGGGACTGCAGACCAGTCCAGAGGGGATGGAGGAGAAACTGGACTTTCTAAACACAAGAGGATCAATGCACATATGAAGCCACAGAGACTGAGGCAGCATACACAGGGCTAGCACAAGTCTGCACCAGATGTAGTCCTAGGGCTAAAAGGAGAAGGACACATGCCCCCATCCCTAATCCAGTTTCCTATTTCCTAATTACTATAATTGGAAATAATCCTACTTCTAATTAATAACCACTTGTAAATGAAATTTTAGTTTACTTCAAAGGATTTTCACTGGTGAGACAAACTACTTTAGAGGGTGAGCAGCATGCCCAGACATAGGTGGCCAACAGAAAATGAACTAAACAGTATCTTTGGAGGCATCTTGTATCATAATGTCAGGGATTTCCTTCATTTTTTAAATTTTATTTTATTTTTAACTTACTTTTCATTCACATATACATTCTCTCTCTCTCTCTCTCTCTCTCTCTCTCTCTCTCTCTCTCTCTCTCTCTCTCTCTCTCTCTCTCTCTCTCCTACAGGTACTTTGTACATATATTATGGCTTTCAGTTTAGTGTTTTTATAAGGTTCCTGAGTATGCAAAGAACTGGGACTCTGTATCTATATCTGCTTCTTGCCTTTGCTTGGGCTCTTTTCCTTTCATTTTGTCCTATTCCAATGTGTTATTTTATTTTATTGTTATCACTTATAAGCCTGTTTGTTTTCCTTTCTTTTTTAAAGAAGATTTTTATATATATATATATATATATATATATATATATATATATATATATATATAGTTTTCTTCCTGCACAATAGAAGAGAGTACCGGATTTCATTATAGATGGCTGTGAACCACCATGTGGTTCCTGAGACTTGAACTTAGGACCTCTGGAAGAGCAACTAGTGCTCTTAACCTCTGAGGCATCTCTCCAGCCCCTCCTGTTTGTCTTCTAGTGAGAGGAAAGATGGGGTGGAGGGGATGTGGGGTAGAACTGGGAGGAGTAGAGCAAGTAGGGGAAACCATAATCAGGATATTGTATGTGAGGAAAAAAAGCTATCTTCAACAAAAGAAAAAATTCTCAACTAAAACATATATAATGTATATTACAATTACACATATAATTTGTTAAATAAATTAGATTTAAAGATATCGCCTTTCTTTTTTTTTTTTTTTTTTTTTTTTTTTTGGTTTTTCGAGACAGGGTTTCTCTGTGTAGCTTTGTGCCTTTCCTGGAACTCGCTTTGGAGACCAGGCCGGCCTCGAACTCACAGAGATCCGCCTGGCTCTGCCTCCCAAGTGCTGGGATTAAAGGTGTGCGCCACCACCGCCCGGCGATATCTCCTTTCTATAGAGAAGGAAGGGAAAAGGCTTAAGCAGATACACAATTAACTGATATGTAATTAAGAGAAAGCAATAGTAGAGTATGTATTCCCTCCTCCTCCATCACAATCCCACATTCTCAAGTGTACCTCATAGTCCAAGTCCAGGTAGTCAAACTCTCCATTGGTGCGGAAATGCTGCATGCTCCTGTCCAAGGTCAGGTTAATGCTGCGTCCCTGGCGCTCAATGAGCACAGAGTGCCAGTGGTGATCATCCAGCAGGCTCCCTGATGTCACGGATGTGTGGCCATAGATGGGGCCAAGCTGGTTGCTTCCTGAGAAGTGAGAGCAAAAGGGAAATAAGACATTGACTGCACAGCCCACTATGCACAGGGGCAGATCTTCCCTTTACAATGTGAAGCCAATATACAACTGGAGCTCCGTCTATCAAAATTTGTATAGGAGAGCCAGGATTTTTGCAGTAGCTATAAACAAAAGCTATGAAAATGAAGAAATGCCTGCTCTCTTAAAAAGAAAATGCAAACATTTTGGACAGTGTTGTGAATTCTGCTAAATTTGGGAGGGTGAATGAGTTATCAGCTCAGTATCACATGGGCTCAGGTGCTAGAGGGCCTGGGATCTGATGGTGCCATCACACTAGTTTGATGTTTAGATGGGGACAAGCTGGTCACTGCTCTGAGTCTGGTTGCTGAGTACAAAATGGGGAGAGTAATTCTTGTCTCTTCATGTGTGGGGATGAAAGCAAAAGTGTGTGGGTGACAATGAAGTGTGTGTGTGTGTGTGTGTGTGTGTGTGTGTGTGTGTGCATGTGCTCCTCTCTATGGTAGGAGAGCAGAAAGGAGGAGAAATAAAACAAGGAATAAGTCTAAAGAGCAAGGCTGTTCTGTGTTTTATTGTTGGAAACACACACACGAAGTGTCTGAGAAGCAGGACGGTCACCTGCTATTGACGGATGGCAGTACAGAGTGGCAGTAGGTGTTTGAGTAGATATATTTCTACTGCTATCATGAATCCCAGTCAGTCAATAAAACTTTGGAAGTGAACTACTTTCCAGTAAAACGGTAATGACTCTTTTTGGTGAGGTCATAGAACGAGCAACGTGTTTCACAAAGGTAATGTCACATCTCTATAAACCACAGTTGATTTTCAAAGGTTACTCTAGGTGTTTCATTAGAGAAAAGTAAGATGAAAACAGCTCTGAAAAAAAAATATCTTGGGCTGGAAATTAGGTCAGTGAGTAAAGGCACTTGGTGTCCAGCTGACACCGTGCGTCGGATTCCAGGGAGCCACATTGTAGAAGTTCGACTCCTGCAGGCCGTCCTCTGACTCCACACATTCACTGTGACATGCAGGTGCTCCTCTCCATGTGCACATGTGAAATAAATCCAAAAAATTAAAATAAAATAGCTTCTTTAGACACATCTCAACTGTGGTTGTGTGTACACACAGGTTCACATAGATAGACATTTCTCAAATGCTTTTATTTGGTTGGGGCTCTGATTCCCCCACTGAACCTTCCCTTTCCATTCTTTAGGGTCACATGATACAAATAATTTCTAGCCCCCTCACAAGTCTCAAAACAAATGCTTGTTCATGATTACAGATGAAGAATATTATGAAGAATAAACAAGTAAAGTGAAATGCAAATTATTTTCTCCACTAAAAATAGTTTGATCTATTTCCTTGTAGATGTTTTTCCATATACAACCATTTAATTATTCATATGTATGCTGTATACATATTCAGGTATATATATATATATATATATATATATATATTTAATGTGAAACCTTTGATATATTAGTTATGTTTCTTGAATATTCTAGTTGCTTCTTACTGTGCTGCAAAGCTGCTGCCTCACTGGATAAAAGAGCATACCCACTGCAGCTCACTGCACAATTAAGAGAACATTGTCCTTCACCTGACTGAACAACATATTACTTGTCTGCACTCCCAGTCTTTTACAATGACAGGATTTTCATGTCTTTTGATCTACACCCAGGGATGGATACAACTGAGTTGAATTACTATATTGAGCCTTGCAATACCATTATTATTCTCCTGAAATGTAGAACTCTTATTACCACTTTTTTTAAAAATTTATTTTATTTTATTTTTTATTATTATTTTTTTTTTTTTTTTGGTTTTTCGAGACAGGGTTTCATTGTGTAGCTTTGTTCCTTTCCTGAACCTCGCTCTGTAGACCAGGCTGGTCTCGAACTCACAAAGATCCTCCTGCCTCTACCTCCTGAGTGCTGGGATTAAAGGCCTTATTACCACTTTTTGCCATAGAAAATCTCACAGGCTCTGACTACCAGCACTTAGTCCCTATGTAAATATCAACTTTAAAACATTCTGAAATAGTTATGCATTAGGTTCATCTGCCATCATTAGGAAGCTGAGGGAAATTTTCTTCCGTTAACAGTGATGAGAGTAATTTCTTTTCCATTGGTTTTTTTGAAAGCTATTTCAAGTCTTTTGTCCATGGTGGAGGAGTTGCTTTACACTGATTTATTTGAGGGTTGTGTGTTCATTCCTCACTGGATTTTATGCATTTCTCATGTGTTTCTTCTCTGTAACTCTGAAGGATCACTTAGTGTCCTCTTGATCAGACATCATCTTGATGAGTCTCCTGATGGGGAATCAAGGTCAATGGCAGCCTTCACACTTTCCACAGCACCAAAGCCATCCTTCTTTTTCAAGTTGTCCCAACATCAGGCAGACTACGGTAAACATCTCCCAAAGCTTTCTTTACAAAAGTGATAATTCCACCACTGTCCCTGATCCATTCGCTAGTGTTTTCCATTTATCTTTCCCTGTGAATTTGTGTGCCAAGAGTGGCACAGACCTGGCATGTAGCAGGTGACTGGTGGTCATGCTCATCTTCCAAGGTCATGACAGTCATGGCCCAGTGGTTGCCTGGGTAGTAAGTAGACTACAAGTCAGGGACTCTGGCTCTTCATCACTCAAAATGCCATGATGACCAGTTATATTTTATATACTATAATTGCCTTTGAATGACATATAGAACATTTCTATAGAATTAAAACTATGCACATGTGTGCATAAAGGCAAAACAGGTATGCACATAAAAATAATTATTTTTTTAAAATAAACTAAAATTAAGCACATTTTAATATAACTAATATATTTTTATAAATTTTACTTTTTCTCCATATTCTGATGTTGAAATAATATTGAAAAATTTATCTTTGGATTTAAATTTTTTCTCATAATGTCTTATTTTTTAATGATGCTTGACTAAAATATGCAAACTACTTCAGATGTCTGAAGCTGTGTGGTCAGATAATTTTCCCAAAATATCTTTATTAGCAGAATAGAAAAAGAAAAAAGATCCTTTCTATCACTTTCCCTGTGAACCCTGAAAAGACACACTTACTAATTTGATCAAAAAAATGTTATCTTACATTTTATTGTTTGTTATGCTTATAGCTGATGTGATGGAGTGTTTGGCATCTTTAGTGTTTAATTTTTCTATTCTGTGTTATCTTTTGTATTCAATGCATACATTTTTCTCTTTTTGCAGCTTGGAACTTTTATGGAGTGGTGCAATTGGTTTTTCATGAATGGCATTAAAATTGCATACATAATATTTGCATATCCCTTGGCTTCATATACACTTGATTTTAAATGTAAAAAACAGTATTTTTATAAGTGTATGATTCACATTTTCATCATTTTTTACTTTTAATGTGGATGATATATAGTCAAAGCTATGGTAATTCTAGCATATGGCAAATATATGGCAAAATTATGGCAATTTATTATTGCATAATTCAATTTGTGTTCCTAGACTTGACAGCAATTCTCAAAATAAGTTAACACAGAGAAATCAAGACATCCTCAGGAATATCCAGAGGCTCAAGATAATACAGGGTAGGGAAATTCAATTGGTAAGCATTGTCTTGAGTGGTTTTTTTTTTTTTTTTTTTTTTTGGTTTTTCGAGACAGGGTTTCTCTGTGTAGCTTTGCGCCTTTCCTGGAACTCACTTGGTAGTCCAGGCGGGCCTCGAACTCACAGAGATCCGCCTGGCTCTGCCTCCCGAGTGCTGGGATTAAAGGCGTGCGCCACCACCGCCCGGCTGTCTTGAGTGTTTTAATCTTCAATTTTGTAGCTTTCTCTGGTGATGCGTTTAACAAGTGCATTTTAGTTATTCATTTATTGTTAAGTTATTATTTTTGTAGAATTCTTATTACAACAGAGAAACTAAAATCCATGAACTGCATGTTGCCTTTGAGTACTGCTATCTAGAACCCAGAACACTGAGCCAAGCAAGAGAAAGAAGTGTCATTGTCTTGTCAATCTGGGATTCTGAATGTCACTGCCAATGCTGTGAACATTTTCTTAAGCACCATGTGAGTCTCAGTTATGTTATCAGCAAGCCAACAGACACGGGCTCTGTTTACTTAAAAGTAGTGGGAAAATCACGCAAGGTAACAATCCCTTAGGTTGCCTCAACTCCCAACAATATCTCATTCCTCTGCTTCCTTTAGTAGTCTGATCAAATTAAAATATTATTTCCACAACTTTTACTCTTTCTTCACTTATAAAATAAGTCAATAAGAGTGTTCTCTCAGAGGTTAAGAGCACTGGCTGCTCTTCTAGAGGTCCTGAGTTCAATTCCCAGCAACCACATGGTGGCTCACAACCATCTACAATGAGATCTGGTGCCCTCTTCTGGCCTGCAGGCTGAACACTCATTGTATACATAATAAATAAATCTTTAAAAAAAAAGAGTGTTCTCTTGATTCCTCAGAGAGTGAGTAAACAGTAACCTCCATATCAACAGAGCCAGTATTCACCTGTCTGTCTCCCTGCCAGCTGACATCTGAGGTGAGTTACACAGCACTGGTCACTTCACTTTCCTTGGCTTCTGGGGCACTACATACTCTTTACTTCTCTACTCTCTGCTTCCTGCTTAGTTGCCCCCATAGTGCATTCTCCCCTGATATGTTACAATGGACCCCATATAAACACCTTTTGTTTATATAATAGGCAGCTCAAACGTGCTGTTTCCCTACTAATCCCTGTAATTCCTTCTGCCCTTTTTTTTATTTTTTTTATTTCTGAAAATGACACTAACCATTCCTTTAGTGCCTGAGCCTAAAGCCTGTGAATTATTCTTTATTTCTATTCTTTTCTTCTTGCTTCATACACAATTCATCACGGGTTATGCTGAATTTACCACTAACATAATTTCTCAGATACATTTCTCTTTATCTCCCCTGATAACTTTCCTTGGATGCCAGTGTCATCTCTCCCCAGCCATGAAGATGTCTTCTTTGACTCTCATGCTGACTTAGGCAGTCCTTCCCATGAGAGTCTCAGTGCACCTACAAAGTCAGCATCATAGAGCTGTTCATTTTTGATATCCAGAACCTGTAGCATCCTACAGGACCTGAACAGTCTCCATTTCCTGGACTTTCTCTCTTGTTTTCAGAAATTCACTGAACGGATGCACTATAGTTTGCTTTTTGTTCCATAAGCGTTCGAACTCTCTGTCTGCAATGGTCCCTCCCTGTGCAGCCTTCTCTCTCCTGGTTTTTTTTTTTTTTTTTTTTTTTTAGATCTTGTCTTGAACATTGTGGCTTTTATTTTTTTCTAAGAGAGCATTTTCCTTCATACATTCTGACATTGGTCCTATGGCTTCTTAAGGTGGCACTTAAACTTGGGCTCAGTATAATATATTCGTACTAAACTGATTTCCTTCTATCACTCATAATTTGCTGTCATTTACTTTTATTTCACTGGAATGGTTCACAAACTTAATGAGACAATGTCTTTCTGTTCTCTGATATATGCTACCAACTACTATAATACTGAACATAGTGTAAGTGCTTCAACAAACATTTTGTTGAATGAGTAATGTTATGGGTTGAATCTAAAGTGTTCCCCCAAAGGGTTGCTGGTTAAAGCCTTGATACCAGCTAATGAGGTTTAGAAAAATGATTGGTTTAACCTCATAGATGTATCAGTCAATTCACCGTTGAAATAATGATTTGATAGTGATATTGAGAGGTGACAGGCAGTAGGAGTAGATCTTAGTTGAAAGAAATAGGTCACAAAAAGTGGGCCACTGAAGTGTCTATCTTGTTTCTAACTTCTTCTACTCTCTCTGTTTCTTGGCCCCCATAAGCATATATGTTCCACCCTGCCCTTCTTCCATCGTGTTCTACCTCAACAAAAGACCATAACTATGGGTCCAGTGACTATAGATTGAGTCATCTGAAACCTGAATCAAAATAGTCTTTCCGCTTTTAAGTAATTTTTTCAGGTACGATGTCACAGTGAATAAAAGGTGACTAACAGAAATAGATATACAAATAGATAATCTGCCACTATAGATGAAAAATAATTGACAATATAATGTGAGCTCTTAGAATTATCATTTCAATGATTATGTAACATTTAAAATGCTTTGGATTTATTTATTTTATATGTATTAGTGCTTTGCCTACATGTATGTATGTGTACCATATACATGCCTGGTGCGCATGAAGATTAAAAGATGTCATCAGATCCCCTGGAACTGGAATTCCAGGAATGACACTTGTGAGCTATTACGTATTGCTGGGAATTGTAACTAAGTCCTCTGCAAGAGCAGCCAGTGCTCTCAAATGCTGAGTCATCTCTTCATTCCCTTCATTGTAAACATTTTAAAGATGGAAAAAGATAATAGAGAATCACAACAAACCTAGATTTAAACTGAGGACCAGCTTGGCTTTTTTCAATTCCAATGTAATGTAATCCCCTTGCTGGCCTTCACCATGCAAGATTACTCCTTCACTTTCCGAGGTCTTGAATTTCAAAGCAATGACATCTTTGAGTGTTTTCATCTTCTTGTTTCTGAATCGGTAGGGCAACACAACATGACCATCAAAGTTGATGACGTCAGCCCCTGAGAGGAGAGAGAAACACCTCATTAGTCTGGTAGCTTTAGATAAGCATCCACTTCCAGCTAGTGCCTACTCAGGAAAATGGGAGTTGAATGTTTTCCTGAGAAGGTGGATCCCTGTGCTTTTTCTTTCTTTTTGTTAATTTACCATGTATCCTAAAGTGTATTGACTGGAGAGTTTTGATAAGAATCATCATAACTGTATCTATCAATACAGAATTTTATTTCAATTACTATATTGACAATACAAACTCAGTTAATATGAATATGATTGAAATTTCAACTTGGAAATGTATAATTTAGTGAAAAAGAGTAAAAGAAATTAATTAATCCTGTGAGAGTTTCACAGGATAAGCTTTGATAATATTCACCCCACCTCCCAATTCTTTCCAAGTCCAATTCCCTTCCCTACACATACAACCTTATGTGCGCGCGCGCGTGTGTGTGTGTGTGTGTGTGTGTGTGTGAATTTTTTTTTCCATCAAGACCAACTTACATTGGCCAAATGTACCTGAATGTGTGGTCTTCTACTGGAGAGTAGTCAATTTACCAGGGGCTACATGCTTACAGAAAACTGTCTCTCCATTTCCCAGCACCTAACAATTGTCAATAGCTCCACAGTATGGGTGAGGCTGTGAGCCACACTCCTGGCTTTATGCTGGGGTTTGGTTTGGCTTGGTCTTGCACAGGTTTTGCCCATGCTGCCCAAACTGTGAAGAGTCAAATACTGCATCTCCCTTGCTATGTCCAGAAGACAGTGTCCTTGTAGTCTACCACCACCTTTGGCTCTTACACTCATTCTGAAAAATGTTCAGTTGTAAGACGTTATAAAATTTAACATTTCTTCCTTAAGAAAATAATTCTTTGCAACTTAGTAAATACATTTTAATTTAAAAATTTACTTCTCTTTTTAAATACAGTATGCAGAAATTTGAAATATAGTGTTGGGCGGTATACTATTTTTACCTGATGTTTATATTCTTCTACATTTTTAATAAGCTTGTCATAGGACTTGAGGTTTGTAACTAATTACTCTTCAGTCCTCTTTGGTAGCTTCAGATAACTCTCTCAGACTCCATATTGGTCCCTTGCATTTGGAGTGGGGAAATCAGGGTTAATGATTGAGGCTCTACTAATTAAACTTAGATATCCTGAGTTACCATTTCTGAGTTGGACAAATATCCATCTGTACTGTGACTGGAATAGAGCTAATTTGAATGTAGGGGATCACATTGGAATTTTCAGACATGAGGGAGTGTGCAGATTGTGTGTTACACTTGCTTCATCATTGCTACTCATTTCCATAGTCATTTAGTCACTTGTTCAGCAGTAAGAGTGAGAAAGGAATGTGTACTGTCCATGCCTGGGCAATGGGTTTCCATATGATGGAATGGTTCTAAGGAGAATTATGAAAATGTAGATCAACTATTTCTATAGCCAGCAGGGGAGTTGTTATTTTTAGATATGTTTTGTGGAGATATTTTCAAGATCTCATGTCTGTTACCTTTTAATTTTGAAATTACGGAAAAGTTAGTCAAACTGGGTTGTTCTAGTACCTGAAAATCATAGTTCTGTACAAAGCCAGTCTTTAGGTTATGGGAGTTCTTCCTAAAACACTCCCACAGGAAGATAGCAGGGAAAAGAAGAGGGAGTTGAAAGCTCACTGGAGAAGTGTTTTCTCATTTCATATTCTGATTTTCTGGCATGTGCTTAGGTCCAGCATCATGGGGAGCAGTTTGATTTGCAGTAATTATAGTAAGCCATTTGACCAGCTATGTCCCCAATGTGGTGGCAGAGGAGGTGAGGGTTACTCTTCCTGCCCAGCCCCTTTTGAGTACCACCTCTTATGCTAAGTGTTTGTTCTCAACAAAGTGAACAACAGCAACTGTTTCTAACATTATTTAAGACTAAAGGTCTGTTTTCCATAAAGTCATCAATAGCTTTCCCATCAATAGCTTTAAAAACACCAAGGTGATGATTTCACATATATGCCTTTAAATCAGAGTTGAAACAATGCTGTTTTTACAAGTTCAGAGAGGGGCTAAGGAGATGTCTCAGTGAATAAAGTGCTTGTTATGCAAGCACATAAAAAGCCAGCTGTGGTGGGGCAAGCTTATAATGTCAGCTCAAGACGGGTCAAGATAGCAGAAGCCCAGAGCTTACTGCTCAGCCAACCTTGCTGAATCTATGAACTCCAGGTTCAGTGACATCCTATCTCAAAAACACAAGGACGAGATTTAGGAAAATTCATGACTTCGGCCTCTGACTTTCACAGCACAAGCATATACACGCACACACATCAGAACACTTACATGCATTCAAACAATAAATTCTTAAAGGCATATTAATTAACTGAAAGTTTCGAGAGCCAAACTTCAGCTTGTTCTTTTCAGTTCTCTTATAATCAGCGCTGTTGGCCATACAAAGCCCTTCATAATCATCAGACTCCTGTTCCCACCATCTGCATCACAGGGGTTTATATTAATATAGAGGGTGAAGGAACAATCATTAAGTCTTGGCTTCTACTCACACTGTAAAGCCAATTAAACTAGATCTTAATCATCCACACTGTCACAGCTGAATTCCAATGGCAATAACTTCATCATCCATGATGAGAGATAAAGGCAAGAAAAACGGTACCTGATATTCTATTCAGAGCTCAGGTTGAATTTATAATCCCACAGTTAGTAGAAATTCCTTTTTGTCTTGAAAAGTGAATAAATGAAAAGCATAAGAAGGGAGTCAGTTATGACCTCTGGAGAGTAATTTTGCCACCAGCTTCCTATCAGTGACAATTGAATAATAGAGCCATCGTTGTTTTATATGCCTTCTATATATATTAATTGTGACATATAATGCTTCTCATTCAGATCTCAGGAAGCAAATGTCCCTTCAGCCTAGATAGAGGCAAGAAATCTCTACCTTTATATGTTCATATAAGTGGAAATCTCTATGCCGTGCCAGGAAAAGAAGAGTGATTTGCGCAAATGTGGATGCTTTCCTGCCTCACACTTAGCACAATGGGGAAGTGTGACAGACAGAATGGGTGTGGTTTATTGCCTCTAGACAGTCCTATAGTATAGACAAAAATCATGAAGGGAAGTTATTCACATTGCCCAGCCTCATTTTACCTACAGTAAGTCCTTAGTGGTGGACTGAAAAACTGATAAAATGATCTTCAAGCCAGACCTCCTACATTACAAAGTCAAATCTGTTCCTCCATGAATAGTTTAAATTCTTTTGAAATATCCACATATTCTCTTGTGATTGTGAGTGAAGAGCTAGTTTGGAAATTATAAAACTCCCTGAAATGATCTGTGTAATATAATTTATACTTAAACACCTATCATACTCCTTTAAAAGAGTCTGGGATGTTGTATAATAATGCAAATAACACCCACCACAGATTAGTTCTATTCCCTATGAAAAATAAATGAAAAATTCACTTGAAGTCTAATAATATGTTGTGCTTATTTTAGGACAAGCTGATTTTTTCTATGATTCTGATTACTTACACTCCCTAAAATTAAGATTTTTCTGCAGTGATTAAATATGTGTGGTTGAACTGTTTAAGCAATCTGAACAACAATAATGGCTATTCAAAAGTGAATGCCAAATCATAGTGTTTCCACAATTTTGCTTCTAACAATAACTCAGGGAGCTGGGAGTGTGCCCAACTCATCAAATCCTTGTGCAATGAGGCCGTTCTTGTTTTGTTAATTGGGCTGTGGTTTTTTCTCTGAATTTGTATAAGATGTTCTGGAGAATGTTTACCATGTGAGCACACTGGAATATTATTTTAAAACACCTTGGATATATTCCTACCCAAAATATCTATATTGTTTCAAAATTACATAATGCATATTAAAAGTAGAGTGTAAATCCTGGTAAAAAGAGATCAGGTATTGTTAATGATCAGTAGTTTGTTCAAATGTTAGATTTTTATATTTTATCTACCAAGCTATGCATCTATCTAACATACAGTGAAGCATAATCTACACAATATATATATATATATATTGTGTAGATTATGCTTCACTGTATGAGTACAGTTTGTGTATTAAACATGAATATAGATATAAAATAACATGGGTTGTTGCATATACTATAGAGACTGTAATATTGCATATTATATATACATATTATACATTATTTATGCTTATATGTACTAATATATAACAATATTTGTGTGTGAAAAATTACATATATAATCATATTAGAATTCATAATAAACGAAGACCAAGTCACTTCAAAAGTCTGAAATATATTTCTAAAGCTAAAGTTTAAAAATACAAGATGGGTTATGGGAGGAATTTAGAAAAGTTTAGAGATGCTGGCTAGACACAGCTAAGAATGATGATGGCAGGACTCAGTGAATGAGTTTAGTGGGACTTCAGAAGACAAGAATGCTAAAAGGAATGTGGATAGTCAAGGGCAGCTCTGAGAAGTTTCAGATAGTAAAACGATGCCTATTGGAAATTGGACTAATAGTCATTTGTGTTACATCTTGTAAAGGATTGTCTATATTTTGCCCATGTCTCGAAGATTTGAGTGAGGTTGAATTAAAAAGCAATGGATTAATTAATTTGGTCTGATAAATTCCATATGAGCACAGCACTCAAGCTGTTGCGTGGTGATTGCTGGCTGCTCTAGCCTTATTTACAATGTGAATTGGGAACAACGTAGTTGAGAGTGTGAAATGCATGGAGTCAAGAAACGACCTTGAGTGAGGGCTCCTGCCACTGCTGCCAGGACCCATCGATGTTTCACTCTAGCCTCTGTGGCTTTTCACGTGGACTCGACACAAGTCTAACCGTGATCCTTCAGATCTTCAGTATCAGATGGAATTGCTGAGGCTTCCAGTGTATTGGCCTAAGTGTCTACCCGGTTCTTTTCTCTCAAGTGTGATAGCCATTATTGGATTAACCAGCTTCCTATAGTGTAGCCCAATTTCTACATCCTGGTTCCCTAAAGAATCTTGAACAATGAAGAAGTTTTCATTC